TGTTTTCATGCAATCTTTACATCACTACAAAAATAGTTAAAATTTCTTTTCTTAAGCAAGAGTCTCATATACATTTCTTGTACAGGCTGGTTTCAAAATTAGAAATTTTTAAACTTTAAAAATAAAAAATGGCTCCTTGATTTGTTACATCTAAGAGTAAAGGAAAAAAAGGGTAGCAGCTAAGTATTCCAAGTATTCCAAGAATCACAATCAGATATGTAAGCAGCAAGGTCCCTTTGGGCAGTTCAACTCCCTTCCTCTTACAGCCCAGAAACCAGACTCTTAGAAGGGAAGTGACTGCCTACAAGCTTCTCTGGTAATCTTGTCTGGTGTTCTTTATATTACACTTTCACACACTCTTATTAAAAAACATACATAGGATTCACATTTTATTGCTTATACACGTCTTTATTTCATGCATAAAGAATATGCATTAACAACTGAAGTCTAGATTCCTTCCAGTGCACATAGTGAAAAATTTCCTAATACTTCACTAGTACTTCTGAAAGAGTCTAGAGGGCTTTACTTATAGATCCTTCACTGATTTGGTTCTGCATTACTTATGTTTTAAGTCATAGTGTTAAAAAAAAAAAATTAAGTCATAGTGTTTGAGAATCTCAGAAAGGCTGTCAAACTAGCTCCCAAGGAGTGTAGGGTATACACAAAAAGCTTTTCAAAGTCCCCACGTTCAAATCCTTTACATTTGATGACCAAACTAGCCCAATGTTAAAATGTCATTTACTTACCAACAAAAAATGTTTCAGAATCATAGTTTGACATTTAGTGTTTTTCCTCAAATGAGAATAAGAAATGTTTTTCATAAATAAATAGATGGGCCAGGGCCAGCCAGATAGCACAGCAGATTGAAGCACCTGCTTAGGCAGACGCAGGGGCTAGGGCGTGATCCCCGGTCTGCAGGCCCTGCCCCCAGGGGTGCACTGAGACAGTGAATGAGACTGGGTGTGGTGACAGGTGCCTGTAATCCCAGTATTTAGGAGGCTATAAAACAGGATCATTACAAGTTCGATCTGTGTAGTGAGACCCTGTAGATCCTGTACTAAATACATAAAAGATAAAAAAATAAAAAATACTTGGGTCTTTATAAAATATTCTGCATGTGTTTTTTCTTGATATTCTGGAAGGATTCCTTTCATTAAATGATGAGAACTCTAATCCTATACATGTATTTTTCTATTTTGCCTGGTGTTAATTATAGCAGCTTCCCTTAGCCTTGGTTTTTCTTTTTCTTTTTCTTTTTTTTTTTTTTTTTTTGCAGAACCAGGGATTGAACTCAGGCCCCTGAGCTTGCCAGGCAAGCGCTTATTCTACTGAGCCATCTCCTCGTCCCCTGGTTTTTCTATTATTTGCCACACTTTCCTAAATTTCTTACCCCCCACAAACATACAACTTTAATTTTTTTACCAGTGTATAATGAGTTTATGCTTTAAGGATTTTAACTTGGGGGGGTTGAAACATTTATTAAATTCAGCATGAATTTTTAGAGAATAAACGAACTATTTCAAATAATTTCTCTTTCTCTCATATTTAATTACCTTATCAATCTATTTTACAATGGCAGAGATGGAACCCAGGGCCCCACGCATGCTGAGAAGGTGCTTTACCACTGAACTACATCCCCAGAGCTTATGTTTCAAAGTGTTACCTCTTCCACACTGACCTCCTTTTTAAATTTTCACTAAGGTATAATTTGCATATCATAAAATACTAAAATTTTACACGTTTAAGTTTTGATTAGTATACTTACTTTCAAATTACAATTCGCAGTAAGTTCTTTTTGGAAGCAAAAAGATAATATATAATTAGTAAAGTCATTCTGAGAAGGTCTAGAGGGACAACAGTAGACTACAGGACTAGAAATAGGAATAGAAGCCATTATAATCACTATATAGAAGGTTTATGTAAAAAATGGCAGCGGAAATGAAGGAGCAAGATAAAAACATTATTACTACCAAGAAATAACCTGAATGAAAAAGACTAATGGATGAATATACCTTATGCTATACTTATTTACATTGGTGTTAAATAAATGTTTAACAAACATTGCTCTGAGTCTATTTTGAATCAAGTCTGGGTAAGTTTTCCACAAAGCCATATATAGTAAAATTTATCAAGAACTCAAAAGTTACCAAAATCCTTAAAAATCTGATAGCTAACAGAATAGTCTCTCTCAATCTGAAAGAAAATTTAAAAACTCACACAAAAGACTAAGACCATTAATGTACTAAAAAAAAATATTTCATAAGATAGCTAGTTATTCATCTGACTTTTATATATAATTAAAACCTGAAAAGTAATGAGATGTACTATATCTCAAATCAGTTATATAGGTGTACTGTATTCAAATTAGTTATACTTGTACACTATGGTAACAGTCCTCAATAAAAGTTATCTTTACCAGTTCAGCATCTGATTTTGGTTTTCTTATTTCTTTTTCTTTTTTTTTTTTCCTGGGAGGTACCCACCTCCCAGGAAAAAAAAAAAAAAATCCATACAAGAAAAACTGATTCCCACTCTTTAATTCTGAAAGTGTATAAATCTCACATTCAGTTTGTCTATCAAATACAAAATCACATCAATACACTTAATACCTTCAGTTTTTAACTTTCTTTGTAAGTAGTCTCTGTATTATAAAAAGTCCTAATTTAAGGATTTTTCAAGGTATTAATTTCACTTTGGTTCCATAAATTAAAGCAAATAAAATATCTCAAAAAAAATCAAATAACATTTTTTTTCCTGTTGAAACAGCTTCATTGCTATCATTAGCTAGAAACAAGTTTCAACAAAATTCAAGTTTATTGATATGATTCATTCATCAGCAAACATGTCAGTATCTACTAAGGGTCAAGAATTGTGCTAAGATCCAGAAATTTGAAGATACAATAATATACAGATAACAATGATGTTGAATAATGAATAATTCAGCCAATAGTTATCTATTTATTTTAAGCATCACCTCAAACATGAAAAAACTACAAATAAAGTTGAGTAACAATGATATGAAAAATGTTTCAGTACAGAATAATTTTAATTCTTTGAGAAAGTATCACATTCAAAATGAAAGTAAAAGTAGACCAGATAAGGGCTTATTAGCTACTCTTTCATTACCGCCCACTCCAATTTTCTAATAGTCTTCTAGCAGTCTTTTTTTTTTTTTTTTTTTGGTGGTACCAGGGATAGAACTCAGGACCTTGTGCTTGCCAGGCACAAGTGAGCTGTATCTCTGCCCCCCATAGCCTTCTAATATGAACACACCTATTCCTTTTTTCCAAATGAAAGAGAATACAAAAAAAGATGCAAAGTGCTGTTCAACTCTCAATGTTTTAAGCTTATTGGTTATAAATATTCATATTTATATCACTTGATTACAAATGAATTTTCAAGTTGAAACAGATTATAATTCATCAACCAACATAAATAAAAATGTGCAAACAGTATAAACATTATTACTGATATGTGTTACTTTTAAATCAGTTAAGTAATTTATTAAGGAAAAGAAAATTACTTTTAAATTCCTTAACTAACATGCAAAAGAAAGAGTACTAACAGTAAACACAGGTAGAGCTAGCTTTTCTCAAAGATGATATTTTAGGGGCTGAGCTTGTAGCATGTTCTTGCATGCACCAGATCCTAGGTTCAATCCCTGGGTGCATACATAGACACACATAAACACACGAAAGTAGTTTAAAATAAAAACATGTATGCCAATGGTTGTGACAGCCTCAATCCTTGAGGAAGTAACATTTACATCCATCCCACTCATGTGTTCTTTTCATTGTGGGGAGGTGAGGGTGGGGGACGGGTGGGGGTGGAGTACACTTTAAATTCAAATAGAGAAACTATTCATAGGAACTTTTAAATGAAAATAAATCCTAAACACTTGGTTAATGTCAGATTAAGACAGTCAAAGAAGAGTTGGGGAGCACAAAAATAAAATTATAAACCTGAAATTCAGCTACAAAGAACTCTTATTCTCCGGAAGTTATTCCAATCAATCAATTTAGAAAGAAAAACATTTTTGTCCGAAAAAAGAATGCATCGTTATTGGTGCTTAAATTGTAGACAAAATTAAGTTAATACCATTTTCCTTTCTAATTATTATTATTATTATTATTATTATTATTATTATTATTAGTGTGTGTGCAAACACACATGCATATGCTGGGGATTGAATACAGAGCCTTAAATGCTAAACACACGCTCTACTATTGAGCTAAATTTGTGTAAGGAGTAACACAAACATTAAAATAACTCTAAAAAATAGAACCAAAAAATTAATTCTGTCACATAGGAAGAACTGTTAGAAAATTATTTATCAAAAACTAAAGGGCCTAGGAATATAGATCAGCGGCACAGTGCCTGTCTGGCAAATGCAAGGTCCTGAGTCCTACTCCTGGTACCTCCCCTAAAAATGAAAACAACAAAAAAGTAAAGAGAACCAGAATTAAAATTAGTCACAAGCACACCAAATAAATTAATTCTCAAGTAAATAGAAAAAACCCAGAAGTCCCAAGAGTGACACAATTATCATTCAGCTCTGGTTTATCTTTCAGTCATTAAACAGTTCCTTACATTGCTCTATTAAGATATTCATAAAAACTTTAATTTGTAAGTATGTACCCACATATATTTTATTTCTAAAAGTCATATCCCAAACACACAAACAATTGAATGAGAGAAACAAGAAAACAGGTTTAAACTAACTTTTTCTCTATTATTTCTATGCAAATAAAACAAAACAAAAACATTTCTTAGAAGTTGCCAGAACCATAGAAAGCATTTTCACATAAAAGGCCTGCTAAACAGGCAGTGACCATTTGCAAGCCTCCTAGGTATATTCCCAGCAGACACATTATCAGATTAAAGGAACTGCAAACAAACTGGGCTGAAACCTTTCTTTGTCCAAACCCAGCCTCTTCTTCCTGTGATGTCATACTACAAATCTAGCGAGCCTTTCTTTTTCACTTCAGAGAAAGCCCATCTCGCGGCTACAGCTGGCAACTGCGGAAAAGGCTTTAATTCAGCGAGAGCTAACATGCTTAGGAATTTCTTTCGGAACTTATAAAAGCTTCTTCTACTTACCACCATCTGGGATTCACTGCAGGAATACCAAAAAGGAAACCTCATTTTAAAAAAAGTAAAAGACAAACTGGGAATGTTTACGTCTCTGAAATTCTGCATTGAAAAGCAAAATAAGATTGATAACGTAAACATTTTGGAGTGTAAGAAGAAATTAAGTTTGGAACATTCATCTTGACTACAGAAATTCAAGTTTACAAGACAAAGTGGCTCTATCTCCGGACTTGGAACGTGGCTTGCTTTATGCCTACACTCTTACAGGCTGGCTGCATTGACTGCATTTTCTTGCCAGTTAACCCCTGGATTCATGGATTATCTGGAGACTAGAAAATGAGAGTACTTCCGTGTTGAAGGACCTACTAGAAACTTTGAAGCACTCAATTTCATGCTACTTTTGGAGATTTCAGAGAAAAAAGAAGTATTTTATAAAACTGCCCAAAGATCCAAATACTTTGCAAATACACTGGGGGTTACGGTGAACAAAATCTGAATACCAAAGGAGACGGCAGCTGACAAAAGGACCTCCACGCTACAGATCTCCACACCACAAGCTGAACGTGCTTTTATAATGGTAAGCGCAAACAGCTCCCAATGCTTGTATGATGACTCTTTTAAGTACACTTTGTACGGATGCATGTTCAGCATGGTGTTTGTGCTTGGCTTAATAGCCAACTGTGTTGCCATATACATTTTCATCTGTATCCTCAAAGTGCGAAATGAAACTACAACGTACATGATTAACTTGGCAATGTCAGACTTGCTTTTCGTGTTCACTTTACCCTTCAGGATCTTTTACTTTGCAACGCGGAACTGGCCATTTGGAGATTTACTCTGTAAGATTTCTGTAATGTTGTTTTACACCAACATGTATGGAAGCATTCTCTTTTTAACTTGCATTAGTGTAGACCGATTTCTGGCAATCGTCTACCCATTTAAGTCAAAGACTCTAAGAACCAAGCGAAATGCAAAGATCGTGTGCACGGCTGTGTGGCTCACCGTGATGGGAGGAAGTGCACCAGCAGTGTTTTTTCAGTCTACCAACTCACAGCCTAACAATACCTCAGAGACCTGCTTTGAAAACTTTTCAGAAGCCACATGGAAAACTTACCTCTCAAGGATTGTAATTTTCATAGAAATAGTGGGATTTTTTATTCCTCTAATTTTGAATGTAACTTGTTCAAGTATGGTGCTAAGGACTTTAAATAAACCTGTTACATTAAGTAGAAGCAAAGTAAACAAAACTAAGATTTTAAAAATGATTTTCGTACATTTGGTTATATTCTGTTTCTGTTTTGTGCCTTACAATATCAACCTTATTTTATATTCTCTTATGAGAACACAAACATTTGTCAACTGCTCAGTAGTGGCAGCAGTAAGGACAATGTACCCAATCACTCTCTGCATTGCTGTTTCCAACTGCTGTTTTGACCCTATAGTTTACTACTTCACGTCGGACACAATTCAGAATTCAATAAAAATGAAAAACTGGTCTGTCAGGAGAAGCGACTCCAGATTCTCTGAAGTTCAAGGAGCAGAAAATTTTATTCAACACAGTCTACAGACCTTAAAAAAGATATCTGATAATGAATCTACAATATAAGCTATCTGAAATAAAACCACTGGGACCTTAGCTGGAACCTCCAAGCTCCATCAACTGTGAAAACTGTTTTCTTGGAAAATTTCTCCTCCACCTCCGGAAAAAAATCAACACAAGGACATTTAAATGTTTTTAAAGAATATTTGTATGCAGTGTGTTAAGCATTAAAATATATTCTATTCTTGATACATATACTCCATTTTATTTTTCTTTAATGTGTTTATTTTTACTTTAATGTGTTCTTCATTAAAAAAATCTCTTTAAAAAGTTATTCAAGTCTAAAAGTGACTGATTTAAATCATGTGGTGACCCTCCTGTACTATTTATTCATTTTTGTACTAGATTATTTAATTTGCTGAATTTTTATACTAAATCATTTTATGCTATATTGCTTATTTATGTTTAAGTATTTAATGCTTAATTCAACATATTTTACCTGTTTTGAATGAAAGTTATTACAGAGTTATAAAGTTACAGAGGGTAATCTCAAACACTTTGCGTGTTTTCTCAAAAAGTAGCTGGAAATGTAATCTGAAGAATGACTACACTATTTGATGATCTTAAGTATTATCAAGTATAGATATAGATGCTTTTGTAGACAAGTCATAAAAACCTGTGCTAACTATTATGCTTTCAAGTTACTATTCTGATTCATTTTCAAAGTATAATATCCAATTTCAAATTGGTATATACCACAAAATTTAAGAGGGGGAAATTAATGAAATGTTATTTTGCCAAGTAATTTTTTAAAAAGTCAAATATAACCAGAGATATATTTTAAAGGTACATGTATATCACAAAAATAAAGAACTTGGGTTTTAAGTATTTAGGTCTGAGAAACACCAGATAGTGAATATACTTCGAAAGTGACATAGATCTGAGATGTTTTATTTGCCTTCTCTTTTCTTAACCATTGTAAGCCACATATTGAATACTTCAAAATGTTATTTCAGGTAGGTAAAATGTTGGTGTAAGGCAAAATGATATATTAAATAAGAATTCTTTACATAAGAACCAACAAAACTGTAAGTCTAAATAACTAAACACAACTATATTTTTATTTCACAGAACACAGAAAGGTATGCTTTAGAGCTTTATTTTAGAAGGAGCAGTTATAGAAAAACATTTTTTAATATATCATTTTTGCCCTCCAATTAAATCATTGTCCAAAGTTAGCAAAAAACAATTTCTGTGTCAGAAAAAAGGACATATAATTTAATTCAGAATTAGTCCTATCAGATTTTTTACCTTCTTAATCTTTCAAGTCTGAATACAACCTATACAGATACTTTTTATGATGTTAATCAGACTTTTACTATTCTCTGGATTTGGGATACAGTGATTTCACTTGATGTTAATCAAAGGGCTGAGATGTGATTAAGATGCAATGATTTCAGACAAATCAATCACAATCACTCATTAGGTTAAGTAAATCTGTCTTCAATAAAATAGCAATAGGAGTTTTTCTTTAGGGACCCATGGTCTTCTTCAGGTAAGCCTAAGGAAAGCAAATTCTTTAAAACACACACCAAAAAGATATTAAGCACAACCCTTTTATATCCCAAAAGAAGTAATGTATACTCTAAATATCTTTTATTCAATCAACTTGAGGTTCCTGTATTTGGTGTCACACTTCAGAAAAGAAATTACACTTAGCAATCTTAAATACACACTTTGAATTGAGAAGTAACTAAGAACCGATCTGGAAGGAAGCGGGTAGGAGCTCTTAAATTTCGGGATTTCTCAGAAATTTTCCTGTTTCAAGATAAGTGAGCTAATAAACCTAAGGCAGACCAGAAAGCATGAGTATTATTTTAAAATACTAGCAAAGACATTAAATAGTTATAAGGACTACGCTCAGAGACATTTTCATTGTACTTTTTGTCCACAGGAGAATTATATGATTAAAAGATGTACAGGGTTTCTCATAAAGCAGTACTATATAATGCAATAACATATACTACTTTTCTCATCTAGAACTTTAAATCCTGAGTAACTTATCTATACATAAAAAAGTAGAATAAAATTACTTTCCTTTGTCAGTGTTGTAACTCAAGGTAAATTATATATCCCAAGGATATTCTCTTTTCCTTTTACTCAGTAAACTTAACATTAGAATGCTGAGGATTCCAGTTTTCATTTCCTTAAAATTACAGTATGTATTAAGTCCTCCCTTAAAAAAACTGTGCCACTATTTTAACATCTTCATAAAGGAGTGAATGATTTAGCTAATCTCATTAGCTAAATTTCTTCAAAGAAGAAATTTCTTCAAAGAAACTAAGTTCAGAAAAATTTTCCAGTGTGGGAAATAGCTTTACAGTATCCTAACTGGTCCTTAATTTAGAAATATTGTCTTTTCAGAGAAAACATTAACTAGGTAATTACTTTCAAAAATATAAGCATTATATATAATATATGCATAGAAAGTTACAGAAACTAAATATTTTGAAATACTTTTATCAATGAGTTATCAGTAAACCTTAATATTTACATTCAACATACAGCAAATAATTTTTAATTATTGTAAACTTTATTTTTTATTCCTGCATTTTGTGAGACACAATGCTTACATTCTTTTTTTTTTTAATTGAGAAATAAATATGAATGAGACAGTTTCACAGCTGATTAAAAGGACAGTTTTGATAGTCAATACACTGTACATTGTTATCTTCTTAGTGGTTATCCATGGTACAAGAAGCAGACAGGATATTCTGTCCAAACACTGTTAGTACACCTCTTTCTTCTCATTGAGTTAAGCGAAAGTAGCTGTAAATTTATCCTATTTTGTATATATAAATACAAAATGATCTTTCCCTTGTATCTTTTTTTAAAATTTATTTATTTATTTTTTTGTCCTGTCAGAGGTGAATATTCTATTGGCATCTAAATACTATAAGTGTTTGAATTCAACTAAACAATCTAATACTGTCTAGCAGTGTATAATATTAGTGGGTTATCCTCAGAAGTTATTGACTTGAGCCTTTTACAGCTCATCGTATTAATATGGATTTACTTTATATACCTCGTTTTTATACTTTTCTACTGGATGGTTAAGACCAAGATATAGCAAGACCTATATAACAAGAAATGTAACTTTTGTATCTGATAAGGTCAGCCAAGTATTTTCAGGATTTATCCTGTAGCCCTGTACCACCTTTTGTACATCCTTTTGTCAGTGTCTGACATGAGGATGAGTCACGGCCATTACTTGACCAATTTACTCTCTGTGAAAGCTTGAGAAAATGTTTTTTCTCTCCATGTGACTCTCCCCAGGCTCACTTTAGATCCTCGAACACATTTCTCTGTGGCTCCATAATCTTGATCAGTAAATTTGGAGCACAACTGAGTTACATGTTGTTACAGTACAGGTTCTCCTATGTCCCGAGTCTTCATTAACCTTGAAAGGCTAGGGCCAAAATGTTGGCTAATCATGCAGCCCTTCCTTTTCTCCAAATTTTGATCTGCTAACTTAGGTTGTTAACCCTCCAGAAGAGAAGCTAATTATTAACCTGCAATATATGCAGTTCGGTTTATCCTATCTGTAGAAATATCAAACATTTTGGCATATCCTGAAACAGGTATTTTCCATCAGATATTGATATGTTGAACTTTAAGTCTTTACAGAATATGAAGGGAAAATAATTATATAAAAGTAGAAATAAGCATTTACATATTTTTACAAAGAAATTTAGAAACCTAGTCATATACGGAATTGTAAGTCCTTATACTAGGGAGACAATACGATACTTACAGATGTGGGTCTGGTTTATGCAAATAAATTTGAAATAAAATTCTAATTATAGATAGTGGTATTTAAAGAGATTAGCCATTCAGTTAAAGGACAGAAAATAGAAAATGAGGCAAAATTCACAACTGACAAACATTGGTTTTATGAATAGGAGGTAGCTATTAAGAGTAAAGCAACCGATTTTTGGTTGTGCAATCTTAGATCCCCAGATACCCTGTCCTTTGTCAGTATATTATGTTACTGTTGCCTGAAAGAATCTTTACTACTGCCCCAAACCCAAACTTTTTAAATCCCTGCATGCCAGTCCAACTCCAGAGGTCACAAATGAGAGAGGATGTGACCTGGTGTTCTTTAACATTTGCACAGAAATATTTTAGAGATGCTTTATTTTTGCAATTATTGGGGATTGAACTCAGGACCTTGCGCTTGTCTGGCAGGTGCTTATTCTACTGAGCTATTTCCCTGGCCCTGCACAGAAATAATTTAGATATGGATGAAATCTCAGAAAACCTAAGGTAAACTTTTTCAAAAACTTTTAGGCTAGCATAGAAATTGAATTACCCATTTATAACATGATTGCTAAGAAACACTTTATAAATTCAGTAGGAATGAGTAAATAGAACATTTAAACCAACTGGATTATTTAATGATGAACGCTGTTACTTAATTAGCAATATTTTCCAGAAATCAACATGTACATACACCAAAACCATGAACTATCAAACTATTTTGTACCTTTTTATTTAATGTCTGACAGTTTTACAGAAAAACAAAAAATATCAAATAAAAGAGGCAACTGACCATATAAGATAAAAGGAAATTAATTCCGAGCAAGCTTCTCTAAGTCTTTTCCTTTTCCTCTCTCAAAAAGATTTACTCAACATCATCTTAAAAGGATATTAAAATTATCTCTTTCCTCTGAAAAGCAGTGATAAAATCATAATCAACAGTCAACACCATAAGTAGGGGTAATTCAAGAATATTAACCAATTTTAAAAGTCAAAATTTGGTTTATGCAGATGGATTCAAACAATCCACTAATTTAAAAGGAAAAAGTGTGCTGGGGATAAACCCCAGGGCTTTGAACATGCTAAACAATTGCTTTACCACTGAACTAGATCTTAATTTTTAAAATTAATTACAGTTTAAGTAAGTGTTAAGGAAAACAAATGTGTTGTACACTTAAGAATTGAGCTACAGGCAAGAGCCATAGGGTGAGTGTACAAAGCTCCATTATCTTCCTATCAAAGTGGAAAATTCAAGTTGTAAAATTGAAAGGCTCGGAGACCATCCCATACAAATATACCTTAGGTTGAAGAAACTGAGGAACTAAGAGCCTAAGTAACTACCTAAGAAGTTAAGGTACATCCCGGGTAAGAACTCAGTTATTTTGATCTACCTAGGTTTTT